TCCTCCTCCTCCTCCTCCTCATCCCCCTCCTGCTCCTCCTCTCCTCTTCTCCTCCTCCTCCTCTTCCTCCTCCTCCTCCTTCTCCTCCTCCTCCTCCTCCTCCTCTCCTTCTCCTCCCCCTCCAGAGCCTCCCAACAGGCCCCCAACAGGCTACCAACAGGCCCCCAAACTACCGCCCAGAGGCTCCAGAATCAGTGAACTCGCTCGTTCACTGATTCCATTGCCCCCGAACAGGCCCCCAAGAGGCCCCCGAAATAGTTGCCTCCCGCGAGGCCTCCACGAGGCCACAAAACTACCCGCTAAGAGGCCCCCAAGAGACCCCAGAATCAGTGAACTTGCTAGCTCGCTGATTCTGGAGCCCCCGAACAGGCCCCCAAGAGGCTCCAAAGAGGCCCTCAAACCTGCCCCTCAAGAGGCCTTTACGAGGCCCCAGAACTACCCGCCAAGAAGCCCCCAAGAGACACCATAATCAGTGAACTCGCTAGTTCACTGATTCTGGAGCCTCCCACACTACCCCGCAAGAGGCCCCCTCGAGGACCCCAAACTGCCCCCCAAGAGGCAAGAGGCCCCCATGAGGCCCCCAAACTACCCCCCAAGAGATCAGTGAACTCGCTATTAGTTCACCGATTCTGGATTTCGTTTTGGTTTTCGGAGAATCAGCGAATTCGCTAATTCGCCGATTCTGGACTGCGGTTCTCAGAGAAGCAGTGACCTCGCTAATTTACTGCTTCTGGAGGTGGGTTTCCAGAGAATCAGTGAACTCGCTAGCTCACTGATTCTGGATTTTGGTTTTCAGAGAATCAGTGACCTCGCTAGTTCACCGATTCTTGACATCGGTTTTCAGAGAATCAGTGAACTCGCTAGTTCACTGATCTTAACTTCTGGATTCGCCGATGTTCACTCCCGCCTTGCTCCTTCCTTCCTCCGGTCCTCCGCTGGCAGCGTTCTCCTCGTTCCTCGTCCCAGGTGTTCTGCAGCCTCCTCCGCTCTGCGCTCCTGCTTCCTTCCTTCCTTCCTTTACGGCTCCGCTGCTCCCCCTGGAGCCGGGGACCGCCCAGCATACAGCTACATCCATCCTGGCAAGGCCCAGGATGGGCCTGCCCAGGATCGGTGCGGGTGTGCAGAGCGCAGCTGGCGACCCCCTGTCCCCCTTCCTCATCCCGTCTCCTTCCTCCTGGTTCCTCCTCCTCCTCCTTCGTTTCTCGTCCCTCTCTCCTCGTTTGTCCTCCCTTTGCCAGCCTCGTTTCTCCTTCCTCTTTCCTCCTCCCTCCTCGTTTCTCCTTCCTCCTTCCTCTTCCCTCCGCCTCCCCCCGTCGGATTCGCAGCGACGTCGGATCGAAGCGAATTGTGCCTCCCCCTCCTCCTCCTCCTCCTCCTCCTCCTCCTCCTCCTCCTCCTCCTCCTCCTCCTCCTCCCCACCTCCGCAACATCCGACCTCCCGCCCCTGCTTGGGGCGCGCTCCGACGCACGGCGCTCCCTCTTCAAGGCTTTGCCAGCCCTGCAATCGAATCGGTGGCAGCTGCCCGAGGATGCTCACATCTTCGTCCTCGTCGTCCTCCTCCTCCCAGCCCTCCTTCCTCACAGATGGCCCCTCCCTGTCGCGCTCCCGGGCGTGTCGGCAGGGCGGCCAGGCGTTTCGCCACTTCCTCGTGCTAGAAAAATCATAAGTTCGACATTCGCAACAGCTACACGGATGGAGGGGGGGATCGTTTGCAAGATGGAGCTCGCGCCTCAGCGCCGTGCGCATTCGTTTTACCAGTTTGCAGCACCTACCAGGATGGAGCACTGGTCGTTGTCAACATCGTGCCGTCGCTTTGGCGCCGCGCACGTTCGTCTTGATTGCTTGCGACAGTCAGAAGGATGGAGGGCGGCTCCTTCTCAACACGGACTTTCGCCTCAGCGCAGCGCGTGTTCGTTGTACACGCTTGCAACAGTTTCGGATGGAGGGTCGCCCCTTCTCAAAATAGGGCTCTCGCCTAAGCGCCGCGCACATTCGTCTTATTTGCTTTGAACAGTTACAGTGATGGGTGGCGGCTCCGTTTTGCAATGGGGCTCTCGCTTTATCTCCGCGTGCATTCATTGTACATGCTTGCTGCGGTTGTACTGATGGAGGGCGGCTCCTTTTCAAAAAATGGCTCTCGCCTTAGCGCCGCGCACGTTCGTCGTAAACACTTGCAACGGCTACACGGATGGAGGACGGTTTCTTTCCAAAATGGGGCTCTCGCTTTAGCGCTGCGCACATTCGTCGTGCTTGCGGCTGTTTCAAGAATGCAGGGCGGTTCGTTTTCAACATGTGGCTCTCGCTTGGGACCTGCTCGAAGTTCACGGCCAGAAGTGCAGGCCGGTGCAATGGTTCGCGGCCTTCTCTTTCAGTGCGGGTATATCTTCTTCTCCTCCTCCTCCTCCTCCTCCTCCTCCTCCTTCTCCTTCTCCTCCTCCTCCTCCTCCTCCTCC